TATGACCTCAGAATTTCATGTCTTGTCACCACGTAATGATTTTCACCTTCACAAATGTTCAGGTAATTCTGTACGGAGCAAAAAAAAGGCAAATTGGAAGATCGTGAAGGTCGAAGTGGGGTCTTTTCACTGTGTAAAACATAGGCAGTCGTCCTGGCGGAGCTTTTTTCCATTTCCTAGAATGGGATTATTTGCTGGAAAAGAAGCTAGAAAATGTCATTTTGCATTAGGATAAGAAATTGAATTAGGTGGGGACCAGGAAGCCATTTGGTGCCCACAGAAAGAAGCATTTTGTCAAATAGAAATAGAAGCCATTCGGGGCAAAAAAACTTGAAGCAAAAATTCATTGAATTCTTGAAAATTGGTAGTTTTAGAGGAACAAGTCGGGTCATTTTCATTGCAAACATCAAAATGAGCTTAGTTCGAGATTTTCGCTGTTTTTTTAAATTCATTTCATTACAATCATAAACTTTCCTTTTTTATTCTTAGATTCTGAACCTTCGGGGAAAGTGGTAGTAGTAAATCATCCAAGACGTAATCTTTCCTTTTCATCATCGCTATATAGCCAGCGGTACTCGCTTTGAGATTCCTATCTCAAAGTTTCACGCTAATCAATTCTTGTCATGGTCCTGCGTTTCGAATTTCAGTTGTAAAGTTGCCTTGATCAATAATTTTTTTCGTAAAGTTTGAAAGGTGACAAACTTGCTGTGGATCGGCCGTAGCCTTTTATAAAAAGAAGCTGAAGGCATCGTGATGTTGTAAAAAAGATTTTTGAAGATAAAAAGTTGGTGTTTGAAGTTTGTTGCTATTAGGTCATCCCAAAAGTTTTTACATATCAGACTTTTCACCAGCATAAGTCTGCTCTTCTTATTGTTAGACTTCTGATGAGAAGCGGAGTACCATTCGAAAGAGTAAAGCAAGCTCTACAATATGACTTTTAAAAGTTCGTACCAGGCTTGATCCGCATGGAGTTCTAAGACAAAATGGAAAAAAATCAAAGATTCCGAAAAAACAAAAAAATCGTATCTTAGTTAAAAAGCATTCTGCAAAGTTCCCACTTGCTCACGCATATATTTTCCCCATCAGACATTTATATAAACACTTGCTGCATTTTTCTGACGGCTAGAAATCGAGAAAAAAATAAAGCGCTCAATTTTTAAACTTTGCCTATAATGAGTCTATGTTCCTCGCAAATGTGTCATTAATATAGCTTATTCACTCAAGAATACTCCCACAAATTTGCACCCTTCTAGATGCCTTAGTTTTAGAGAAATATTTTGAAGGTACGAATATGAAAAAACTTTTGGGATGACCTAATATGCAGTACGTTTTAGCATCTTTCACAGCTGTTACAATTCAAAGTTGGGATCTTGATTAAGACATACTGATGACGGATTTGGTTGTAAAGATGTCTCGATCTAGAGTTATTATATCGTTCAAATTCATCGCCTCGATGAAGGTTTTATGAGGTAACAAAAAATCGCTTCTGTATACTAATTTATTGTTTTTTGGTGTTCATCTGATTCATACAATGTTTATACGAATTGATATTGGAAGTAGTATAAGTAGAGCTTGTAACGGCTGTAGTTCATCTTTTTTCAAAAAGGTTGTAATTTTTGTTTTCACTTTTGAAAAAAAAGATGATGCTTACAAGTGTCTGCTTCACATTTTACTGGAGTTTTCCTATTAGGGTGTAAATTTTCAAAACTAGAATACATTAATGACTCATTTGGTTGGTGAAACGTTACTTAATGATTTGGTCGCTGGAATTCTTCGCCTGATGAAGGTTTTTTGAGGTAACAAAATCTTTCTATCATGATTTATTTGTTCTTTGCGTCGTATGATTGATTTACAGCAACGTTCACAGAATTTGATGTTAAGAATGGTATATAAGTAAGTAGGTTGTATCTATAGCCGTCACAACGTTCGTTTACTCATTTCACTTTTCATTTTCTTCTCATTTACTTATAGATCCGCTGGTTTTCTCGAAAGCAAGGCTTATTTTCGCTTTATAGCAATGCATCGACTCAAGAAAATTGATAGCCTTACGCATGTTTGCATCTGCCAAGAGTAGTCCGAGCCTTCAATAGCAATTTGAAATAATTGCAAGTGGAATTCTATGAATGTAGGAAGACTTATTAGACTAATTTTATTTGATATGCAGTATTTACATCACAAATCTTTGAATAAGTACTCTCTGACTCAACGGGGTCGGCGGTTGGAAGGCGAGACTTCGAGGCCAGATTAAGGCTAGAGAGCGCACTCGCAGGAGAGACGCCGACTGCGTTGCGGGTGCGAGCGCTCGCCCAACCGCCAATCCCGTTAAGTCAAAGGATAGGTGATGGTTTCTTTCTCGTTTCAGTTTTTTTATTTCTAGTTTTTGGAAGTCAAGCAATTTATCATTTAGCAAAAATTAGAGCGGTAATTGTAGTTCTTATCCATTTGTGGAAGATATGGAAAAAAGCTTGTAAAGAACTGTTGGTGCCGTGGTTCGAACCTCTGCTTAGAAAATGAATGGCACTCATATCAATTTGATAAATCTTAAGAAGTAACTAGCTATACGAGAAGATTTTATGCGTATGTGGCTAACGCTTCCCTATTTTTGGTGGGTAGAACCTCGAAAATGTTAATAAAAGGTTACGGACAATGCCCAGGTTTGAAGAAAATGGAAATGGAAATTATAAGGAACCTTAGAAAAAATTTACGTTCTTATAAAAATCGAAAATGGTTACATTACTGCAGCAACGTTTGAATTCTTTTTGTGGACACTGTTCACCTTCTGCAGAATCGCTGGTCCATTTTTTTGCTTCAGCTTTTTCTTCTAGACTTTATACCTTAAAAAAGTAGTTGCCTGCTTCTGATCTATCACTTACCTCGCAATTTTTTATAGCTTCTTATCCAGTCTTTTGTCGAGAGAATATTCATTTTGTTGATGGAAGGATCAGATGTGATAAGTGTGATTAGCTGCAGTTCGATCACGGGATGTTTTTCCTTCATAAACCAACGCTAGATTGACCGCATTTTTCATCGGCTATATTTTTCGCGAAGAATTTTGATTCAATCACTGTAAGTACTGGGGGCGGGGAAAAAGGGGGGTTCAAAAACACAAGGATTACTTATTTTCGAAATTGGGTTAATCTAATTGGATTGTGTATTCTGGATAATGACAGCCAGTTCCTGATATTTTGTAAAATTTTATCCCCAAGTTAGGATATATCGTCTTCTTCATGACTTCTTTTCCATGTTAGTTAGTACTAATTTCATCGAAAAATCGGCGAGTTTTGCTTTTTCGAAGAGTAAGGGGGTAAAGGGGGAAAATATTCTTTGGTCTAGAATAACAGCTTAGGAATAAAATTTGCTGATTCATGAGTACACACAACATAATTATACTGCAAATTTGTGCATCTACCTACCGTATACCTACAGTAGTAAACAGTGCTGAATCATATAATCACGGCAATCAAAATCATTCATTCATAACAGTACAATGTACTAAGTGAGACCTCTTACCATAATACAATTCTGGATGTGAATAGAAAAATTATTCGGATTGAATGACTCATTTTGTTTTTTTTTCATTGTAGACTACAGTAATCTGATAATGTATCATTTCGTTCTTTGAGAAAAAAAGAAACAAGAGGTATAACATGAAACGTTACAAATCATTCACGTTGATTTTTTTGCCAAAGAGATTTTTGGTGAATAATTTGTGCCCCTAACGTTCTTACAATGCTCAAATGCTGTCAAAGTGTTTCAGTTGGCCATTGTTCGGAAAACCGACATTTCTTCCAAAATCCTAAAAATCGGAACCTGCTGACTATTTTTCTTTTTCTTCACTTCAGAAAAAATTGGAATTCGTTTCATTTCGTACCAAGATGCTAAGTGATGAAAGAAGAAGGGGCAGAATAAGCTCACTTATTCTGCCCCTTCTTCTAGCAGTAGCCAAAAATTGTTGTCAAATATTATAATGATTTTCTCATTAAACTATTTTTCCAAAAGCAAATTCTAGAGATGACATCATCGAATAATCGAACAATCACCGAAGTGGTTTCTTCTACCGTGAAGACTCCATTTCAAAAGTAGAAACTTGCATCCTAACTCTTACCTTTTTATTAAAATAAATCGAATTAACTTCATTTAATTTTAGAATTTTTTTGTTCCAAAAATAAGCATAACGAAATGTATTTTACGTTCAAGGTATTTGCATAATTCATTTATGGGTTTCCTCGTTTGAAGTTTTTCAAAAGGTTTTGAAAAAAATACCGCTAATTCTTTGCAAAATTCGAAATTGTGCTTGAACTACATGTCGGTGGACCGCCATTTCTTTGATTATGTTGAAATTGATACAATTTCTTCTCTACTGTAAATCAAAATAACTTCAGAGTAGTTTTTTATGATCTGAAAATGAGTATTGAGTACGAGAAACGAGAAAGAGGCAGATTAATTATGTAATTTACATCCAAAATATTCGTACATTTCATCCATCGATTATTTTGTCAAGGAGTTTTTTCGATTTTGAAAAGAAGGCTGAGACTGTCAAAATCGGAATTTTTCCCTATGTCAGGTTCTGGAGAACCGGCCTTGCATCGAAAATTCTAGAAAGTTGAAATTCGAACTGTTGACCTAGGTTAGACAGCTGTGTGACTTAACACACCTATGACTACACCATAGAATTGGGTAGAGAACTTGTTTTCGGACCTACGGATGCTGATGGAGTCATCGATCGTTCGTCGATCGTTGAAAAGAGAGATGAGGCCACACGACCTTGTGTGAGACAGACAGAGCGTTACCAGCGGTTATTCCATCCGTTACCGACAATCATGTCGCGCTATTTGAACGCAATCATTCAAGCGTCCTGCAACGATTTGGTTCTTCTCTTGTATCCCTAGATAATCCTCATCTATCCCTCCCACAACTCCTCTTTTCCTCGAATCTTCATATCATATTCAAAGTCACAGCCCTATCGTTCTTTTCTGTCTCTTCCTTCTCCGACCGATCATTCATCTTTTCCTTTTCAGGAAGGCAATGGGCCAGCTGGCTGGCTCAGGATGCCTCATCCTTATTATACTGGTTTCGGCTGAGGATTTACACCTAACAACTGACGATGAGGGTTATCTTACGGTTATCCAAGGATTTGCAACTCAGCTGAAATGTGTACTGAACACATGCTCACCAAATGTAAGTTTGGTTATGGTAACTCGAAAAAAAAACCTCTAAAACCCAAAACAGCCATACGTTTGTGGGAGGGGGGGGGCAAAAGATTTTTGAACTTGTCTACATCGGCTATAAAAATGTGCAAGTTAACTTGTGGTTTTACTTTTCTGAAATTTTGGAATTGTGGGCAGCGAAAATTTTGTGAAGCACCCTAAAAATTTCAGAGCGCTTGGCTATCCCTGGGTTGAGTTGATGGACAAATCTTCTATGTTTTGTTTGGTTACTATTTTGAAAAAATGAAAACTTCCAAATTCACCGGTTTTTCATCAAGACTTATTATTTATATCCTAATTCTTGCATCTTCCTACTGAAGAAATGACTGTAATGCATAATTGTGATGAAAATCATGATGAAGAAGAACTTATTCGTGCTGAAAAAGGCGAAATAGCAAGAATGCGAACTTTTTTTAACTGATTTACATAAGGAATTCTGCTTTAAGCACATCCAACGAGGATTTGAAGATCTGAGATTAGTATTAAAAAAATCTGTGCTTTTCATCTTTTGTCATGGTCCATAGTCCCACCAAGATTTTGAGGACTGTACTTTTTTGGGTGGGGGAACGAAAGCCGCCAGGTCCACCCGCCTTTCGCGGCCAGCTGGTCCTTTCGCAGCGTTGTTGCATGTCGTTCCAGGACCAGCAGTCCGCGGAGGCGGCTGGACCTGGCGGCTTTCGTTCCCCCACCCTACTTTTTTCTATTAAACCAGTAGTCTAAAGATGCTATTTGGAAGAGCTTTCGCTTCGGGACCGCCACGCGGTTTCCCGCTATTTGCACATTTTTGAATTACGCTTACGTTTCTTTATATATTAGATACGCTTACCTTTCTTTGTATATTAGATTTTGAGTCATACAAATTTGATTTTTTGAAGGAAGAGAAAATCATGCCTACGAATTGGTTGAGCAAAGTCGACAAGCAGTTAAATTCTATTTTTTCGTAATTGGTCGCCAAAAATGTTGAGAGGTCGCGCTAAACTTGATTTTACTTTTATTTGCGGTTTTACCGCTAACTTTTTCCAACTAAAAGAAATTTGTGCTGATTGTACCTTCGATTGATTATGATACATCGACGTTTTTATTTTGCCCCTTCAAATATTACCATAAATCAGAACATTTAAACGACTCCAAAACAAATGTTCCATATTTTTTGCTGCAAAATGAAGATCTAATGAAATTGATTCTTGTTTTCTTCTCTCTCCTACTTGCTCAGCAAAGTGTGATTCATCACAATTTAGCTGGGACTAATTTCTCGAACCTACACAGTGTAACCAGTGTTTATCCAATTGACTGATTTGTTTTATGCAGTGAATAAGTTTGCATAAGAACAATTAGATAAATGGTGGAAATTGCTTTTTGTTGTTGAACTAAACTTACTTAAATTCTGCGAATGATGCAATAGACGCAATCGATAACAGTTGCTAATTTTCATGGAATCTGGACAAGTAAGCTAATGTTTTAAGAAGATGTATGGGGACCAAATAAAAATTCCATGAGACATCCAAATTCTATGAGTGATTGTCTATAGTGTCAAAATGAAGAACTCTTTCACTTGGGATAAAAATGCCTAAGAGATTTAGATGTATAAATCAGCTTGAGGCAGAACAAAAGTAGTTTGTTGAATGAATAAATATGGTGAATGGAATATATCCTCGAGTCATTTGTAACTTAATATGTGAGTTTGCACACCATGCACGGCAACCGACGGCAACCTTAGTAGTAACTCCTCACTGAAACCATTTCTAGCGTAACGAACTATAGATATGTGTTTTGCTAACTAATATACAACCATCAGAGCAAAGGAGCAAGGAACATCCTAATCTTGTAAGTTCGTCAAGTAAGGCGCACTATGTGCGTTACACATATTAAGTTGCAAATGACTCGAGAACAACTGGTTCTTACTCGAATTTTCATAGAAAGCGAAATATGATCTGTCAATAAATAGATGTCTGAGATTGGGAAAAAGGGGATCATATAACAGTCTTTTCAGGTTATTTGGTCAAAAGATGAAGTGATGATCTTCAATGGAACAAACCTCATCAAATCTCCTACGATAAGTGAGAAATCCTACAAATTACAGCACGAAGCGTATGTGGACCATCAGAAAGGTAGATCACTATCAGGTTTTCGCATTTTTCTACTGCTTTTACAGCCCGAATTTTTTTTCGAATTGGGTTTAGTTTTTTCATTCAAATTGGATGGAGTATATTTAGAACTTAAATATCAAATTAGGTTGTCATGCAGTCTAAATACTTGTTCTTATTTCTTTCTAACGGTTCACCGCCATTTCATTCTCTTTTCTTCCTCTTACCTTGATGACTCCACATTCCAAGAATACCTCTATGAAATGCATTATTTCTTATGACCTTGATTTCCTCTCCATTTTCCTCCGATTCACAAAAACTTTGAATGAGACAGGTTTTGTGCTGCAGTCATGCTCAAGTGCTTAGTCTTCTGCGAAAATCGAGGAAAACATGAAATTCCACAAATTCCATTCGCTTCACTTCATGCGCTAACTCATTTGTTCGAAACACGGCCGATTGCTGTATTCTTAAGTGCTTTGTACTAAGAATGTTCTTTAATGAAATTGCTATAGAAGGATTTACAGCAGAAAATGTCATAGAAGTTCATTTTCAAGGTTTAATGTTAGATGGGAAACGCGCATTCAGACTCGAGAAATTCTTTAGTTCAATGTCAATATACGGTGGTAGTGGCCAGTGGTAATAAAATGTAATATAGAAAAATACCCTCAGTGGAAAAAAACTCCTCTCCAAAAGGCAAGCATGGTAAAAATGTAGTATTTGTAAGTATGGCAGTAGCACTCGATTATATCTAGTGATCATATGTGTTGGATTCCCAGCAAGGGCAGTGTTTGTATGGTTTCTCACAACTGTCAAGTTGGTGAACTAGTCTTGCACCAAATTACACATTTTCCTTTGATTATTCATACAACATTTTTATACCTAATTATATTATGTACAATGTAAAGTACTTCCATAGCTTGGAGCGGTTTTCTAAGCATTTTTGAACGAATTTTCTGGAAATGTCCAAAGCAAAACTCTTGTTTCAATTCATTAAAAATCGCTCACAACTCTCTATACCAATTTTTACGAGGATTTCAAAGTCTTGATTACATTAATCTACCGTTTTCCCTATTGAAGTTATAAACAAGCCAAAATACCCATAAGCTCTTGCCTTATTTCTCATGTTGTTCTTCTCCCCATTCTCCGCTTTCAAAAATTTTTTCCCAATCAAAGAAAGTTCAAGCTTGAATCATTCCCTAGCAACGCCATGCTTTTTTTTAAGGAAATTTGTGGAGATAAGAATGATAGGGAATTATAAGATTTACTATACAATGACAATGATACGCCATTTACCTTATGCTATTGGGTGCCGTAGAAATTTCCTTTACGACATACACTCTCTTTTTTAACAGTTTTTGCTATCGAATAAAGTGCTGGAAGAAAAAAAACAAGGAAAAACCAATCTTAGTTGTCAGAACTGAGCTAAGAGAATGAAATGAAGGAAGGACAAAAAGAGAATGAAATGAAGGAAGGACAAAAAGTTGTTGGACAGTTTCTTTGTTTGTAGCCGATAAAATTTCTGAGACCGATCTAATTTGTACTGGATTTATTAGTGCTCTGTAATACGCTACTAAGACCGTGCATTAAACTTACCGGAACCAACTTAGACGTAAATCCCATAGCAGAATCTGTCAGTTGTTCAATCATTCTTTGATGCTGCTGAACATACCGCTTTTTGTGCCCCTTCGCGATCAGGCCAAGGTCTCTAGCAATTTTTCATTTTCGATTTTAGTAGAGTGCATCAGCCCTATCTTATGACAAAAAAGATAAAGACCTCTTACGGGGCAATGTCTGAATTTTGCAGGAATGCTTTTAATTCTTTCTTCTTTTTGCTATACGGCATGATTTTGCGTGGTAGTTCTAACAATGGAAATTTCCTATTCTTTCTCATGCGTTTGGGTGCGCAAAGAATGCGGAGAGAATGCATGTGGGAAAATGCCTTTCCTTAGTACTAGTAATGTTCTGCAGATATGTCCCGAGTTAAAAAAGAAGCTGCAAGCATTTCTATACGAAAGCAGAAAGTGTACTTCTAAGGAGAACTCAATTGAATCTTGCTAACAATGAAAATCATTGCCAAATTAGGGACATCGTAACCCTTTGATCGGCTTTAAAGAAACTTGAACAATTTCAAAGATAAGAGAATTGGTCTCCTAATATGTTTGATACAATCCATTATCCTTAAAAGTGTGCTAGACTGTTTTGAGAATTAGTGATTGATTTGTTTTAAATTTTATTTCTGTCCTCTTACACTTATTGACATTTACTAGAAGTTCTTTATATCGTATATCTTGTATCTTGCGTATTAATATAATTATTGAATCCTAGGAAAAATTTCAAAGTGCAGCGCTGTACGGTACACATCGCTAAAATCATGATTATAAATATTATTTTTGTTATAATTAACATATATCACGATTCTGCCTGTTTTGCCTCTGCTTTGTTTTCACTAACATCCAAAAAATCTTGGCTAACATTAAAATCTAGTTATAGGGTGAGGTCCATAAAAAGCCTAAAACTTGAGCACAAAGATTTTGCCCATTTCTTTGAGAAATGAAAATCAAAACCTTTTTCTACAAAAAGAAATTCACCTTTTTTTGTAAGTCGAATGTTCTCCAGTTTGTTGTCAAAATATCGATCTTTAATTTTGTGGAAATAGTTGCACTACATTTTTTTTCAAAGTTGGACATAAATTAATGGAGAAGTCGTTTGTACAAGTTCACATCCTCGGCAAAGAAAATTGCAAATGTCACTTTTTCTACACTTTCACTATGGTGCTGATGTTTGCGCAAACAGAAATTCACTCTGTAACCTTTTTCTTTACGACAACACTTTGGCCTCTACTAATTAATAGGAATCTAGGAAGATAAGAGGATGTCACTTAGTTGATTTTTTTCCACGCAAACAGTCCTGTACATCTGTAAAATGGCTATTTGTATTTGCATTACTGCAGTACACATCTTTTTTCTTCAAACAAGGCCAGAAAGGCCTCGGTTCCCAAAAACCAATGATCGTTTCTGCGCTACGCTCAGCGAGATTACCTTGAATCTAGCAATTAGCACAAGACACTCAACGTGATGTAATAAAACGAAAGTTCAAGGATTTGTAGCATTCCGCAGACAGCTCTGAGCCAGGGGTTAAGTGCTATTTTCATGGCCTTTCAACAGTTTTGTGGAAATTTTCACAGCAAACTTCGGGAATTAGTTTCGTGGTGTGTTTTGGAATTTTGATGGCACCATTTTATGTTCAATGAGCCAAAAATGGCCGATTACTCATACAAAATTGAATTTCAGGTTGCACTGGTCAATGCGATGACTCAACACCGTGTCCAGAAGGTAGCGCCTGCATGGAAAACCAGTGTTGCGCTTGTTCCAAGGAGGAGTTTACCCTTGTTCTGAGAAATCTGACATTTGAAGACTCGGGGAGATACAAGTGTCAAATCGCCAACAAATCTGAGCAATTGGAATTTCAAGTGGAAGTGTTGGGTAAGCAGAAATTTAGAAAATGGCGGCTTTTTGGGACGGTTACAGTATGCTACCGTAAGATTCACCTTGGTGGTTTGTCTCGTGGTGATTTTGTACAAGGATATTTCTATGAATTCAAAAAGCGTCTAGGGTTGCCTGCGTGCCGGTGCCGTGCCAGTGGCGTTCCAGGATCGTGCCGACGCCGTGCTGGCGCTGTTCTGGCGCCGTGCAGTAATTTACTAAGCGACGTTCCGGAACCGCCTTAGCGGGGATGGCACAGGTATCTATGGACGCAGCTAAAATCTATGAAATGCTGGCAGCATGCAGCGCAACTATAGCAATTCTGCTCTTGTAATCGCGCGAAGCTACGGTAGCATACGGTAGATATGTGTGCAAAAGGGCCCGCATCGTCGAAATGCTGACCATGGTTAATTATGGATGATTCCAGAATCAGGGCTCAAGGGCGGATTTCATGAGAATATCTCCTACGACCATTCGGAATGCTGCCAAGAGAAAGGTATATCCCCGCTGTGCAGAGCGATGTGTAAGCCAAGCGAAATGGCTGAGCATCACTTTGACCCAACCAGGTACAGTACCCCTACAGTATCCCTACGGGTTGATCACGCAGTAATACGGTTATTTCAGCTGTAAAACCGACGACTACAAGAACTTCCTATACTGCGCTACGGAAAATGGAACCAGAAGTCATATCCATTGCTGCAAAACCCAACTTGTTCCATCGTTCTGCTATGATTTCTGCTCCGGTGACTTCAAGGTACTATAAGCAACAGCGTCGCTCTGAAACCAATCAATAATCGGTTGTTCAGATGCTGCGTCGATCACATCGTCTCTGCTTGTACTATTTGCCGGAAATCTTCGAATGCTACAATCGTGCATACCGTATGTTGTCCAATCCACCTTTAGAACGTTTACGTAGTCGTGATAGTGTGGCATTAACCAAATTTTCATGGCATTTGGGTCCAAAACCGCTCTAAAGGGAATTTATTCCCCCCCCCCCCCTCCCCGTTACCACTGCCGTCCATCTATCCCATTTTCTTGATGATTTCTCCCTAGTTGCATGAATTTCTTTGCATGTGTGTGTGCTTCCCTTTTCCGGTAAAAATATAGCAGAAACAAAATTTTCGGGTCCTAAGGCAACTCTCAGTTGCCCCTCCATATCCTGCCTTCCTATCCTGCCAAACTAGAAGCATGAGTTCTTAGTTTTCGTTATGTTATGCTTGGATGTGTGTGATTGTGGTGCTAGAGCTAATAAAGCTTTTGTTTTGCATGTTTTCTAGTTTTAACACTTAGTTGCTAGCGGTGGTGGATGCATTTTAAGTTAATGTGAGTGTGCGGTGGTGATGTTGTTTTTAGTTCTAGAACTCTTCAGAAAGCCTTGAAAAAGTAGATGCATGTCCTTCTAAGTTTCCCTATTTGACATAAGAAACATGAGAGGTGGATTGAAATAATTTGATCCCATGTTGAATTAAAATTTGTCCAAACATCAAGTGGGAAATCTTCTTTCATCTTATTTTGACAATTACTTTGCTGATAAAGTTTGGAGTTTCCGAAGCTTCCTGGGTTATGGAGGCTACGATATTTTTAAATGCACTGAAAACGTCACCCATAGGTTTTTTCGTTGAATGCAGATGAATTTATATGGTAGTGCGGTATTCAAAAATATACACTTGTCTTTTAACACAAATTTTTTCCATATGAAGGGGGGAGAGATGGCGTTTTTAGCCACGAAATTCCTGACGCTTTTTGCAAGGCGCTTATTCCAGACCTTTCGCAAATGGGCATCTGTATTATGGAAAAAAGGGAAGTGTGCAGTAATAAACTTTCAAAAAGAATTTCTCCACGAAGCCATACCAAATTCTTTTTGAAACGGATCATATCCATAAAAACTCTGATTAAGAAAAGAAAGAAGTAAAAAAAAAAGAAAGAAAAAAAGCACCTAACCCCAAAATTTCTGTGAGAATTTCCTCTATAGCAGTAGCTAAGAAGTTATTGTGCCAGGCTCCACTCATACAAGAGGATACAATAACAAAAAATGTAAATGTCATAATACAGAAGTACTTCCATAATTTCATTGCTCGTGCGGACCACTTTCCCCTCCCCCTCGCCCCTCACCTCGATCCAAGACTGCCATGTAGAGTTTGACTTGTTTTCCTGCTCTCTAATTTTTGCAGACTCCACTTTTCGCGAAAATTATCCGCCTAATCTGTATGAAATACCCATCGATTCTCAAAAATTTTGTCTGTTCCACTAAGGGCAAAAAATTGCTTTCCAGCAATGTTTGCCTTGATCTGCACATTTCAAATAGTAAAGAAAATGTTTATAGTGAGAGGTTTGCAGACTATAAAAGTAGTAAATTTCAGTGCCATTCCCGGATCCGCCCGAGGAAATTGTGGTGAATGCAGTAGAACATGACAAGCTAAGTGTCTGTTGGCAACCTCCACCCGTCCATGACTCCAACAAAAATTTCCCAGTCATCGATTACACCGTCTACTACAAGGAAATTCCTAATTTTCCTCTAATGGGTGACCTGTACGTTTGCAAATTTGAAATTTTCTCAGTACTTATTATAAAAATCATTTTAGTGGCGGAGGTGTTCCACTTCTGAACGGGGACTATACCGAGTTTGGCGATTTGGACGACGATGCCGAATATGTGGAACCAGACGCGAGTACGCAGAATCCAACGCCAAGAGCTAGGAGAGAGGAGAAAGTAAAAATCTTTCCTTACTTCGTGCAAAAAAAAATTGAGAAAAATCGATATTTTTAGAGTGTATTGAACTTGCAACCACCATCAGATCAAGCGGGTTTCGATGGATTTGTAGAGGTTAGCTCAAATTTCGCTGGAACTTTTTGAATTTTTTCTTTTTTTCCTTGATCTTTCTGCTATCTATAGCCTACTTTTTGGTGTGTATGTTGTAGAAGGTGGTCTTTTGCCGTACTATTCTAGGAGCATCAAAAAGATCCATATTTTTGAAAAATTTTTATTTTTTTTCAAGTTTTAGGTTTTTCAAATTTTCAAATTTTCAAATCGAAAAATATTTTTTCAGCCCAACCTCAGCGTTAGCGTTCGCAGGAAACGTAATATGCATACAGTGGTTGTAATGACTCGAGACGAAACTACAAATTCTACCACTATCCGGGAATTCAACTTCCAGCACGTCAGCTCATTCCTCTATTTTCTATTTTTTACGCTCTTTCCCGCTAATTGAAATTTTTGTGAGCAAGTCCCTTTTTTACCTTTCTTTTGCGCAAAATTTGGCCAACTGGTGACGAACGGTATTCATTAGGATTATGGTTAATTTTTTAACTTGAACCCACGACTTTTCAGATTAATACCACCGGCACTTGCCAGACAATCAGCGATCTGCGTTCTTCAACCAGATACATTGTGTATGTGACGTCCAGGAACGAATACGGTAGCTCTGTGCCTAGTGTACGGTCGATTGCCAGCACCAACATTCACACGGTCAAAAACAACGAAACTCTACCTGATGTGATGAGTGAGTTCTTTAACTTCTAGCTTTCATACCCCTCCGTCCTGCCCTCCATAGAAAATCTGTGCTATTCCCCTGGAAACTACAACTGTTACCGTTTTGAAGTAGAAAATATAATAAGATTTGACTCACTGTTTTCTGGCTGGCTAAAAAAAGAATATGAGTGCGAGTTAAGTCTATAACGTTATCGTCTGATTTTCATTCTTTGTTGTGTCCCGCAACGAATACGAAGTGGCATTTTCTCTATGCTTCCTGGTCCATCGGTTGTCACAGCGTTAACCAAATCAAAAATCTAGAAATGCCGAATTTTTCCTCTGCCTCCGTAAGACCCTCCACACCAGAAGCTGAAGACAACCACATGAGTAATAGGTTTGAACAAACACGGAACTCTCAGTTTTGACAATGGTTTTTGAAAGCAACGGAAGCCTGATGAAAAATTGAAAACAATTTATGTAACGGGCAAATTTATGTACAAATGTATGCGTGAAGAAATAACCCAGAAAACATTCTGTTTAGGCGGGAGTGGCTGTGGTTTCATCCACGGAGATTTTCCATGAATGAGATGCTTTCTTGAATAAGACGAATCCCCGAAGTATATTACTAACCAATAGTTATCTCTAATAATCTCCTTCAGAGTGCTGCAAGGAAAACAAAGTCTCAGACTTCTGCAGTTCGAAAATGTGCGTTGTGGAAACTTCGCCAAATGCTTTTTCCACTGTTGCTATCGCTACATCTTGCCGTGGAGAGTGGTCAAAGGTAAAAATTGTCATAACTTTTTGCCTTGGAAAATCCTTCCTAAGCAGATCTAGATATTTTATTCTCTATGGTTCCAGGTCTCCCCTTGCGTAGCAGATGGACGTAATCACACCGAATGCTGTGAACGGAAAGGTGTACAGAAAGACTGCTTACCCATTTGTGCCGGTTCGACAGAATCCTTGGGAGTTCATGCGGTTCTATGTCTCAATCTTGATCTACATGCGATCTATCAATGCCTCAGAGAGGGTTACGGTAAGCCGTAGATAATTTTGGTATAAATTGAACCAAGCAACGTTTTTTCTCAGAAACACATCCTTCTCCACCTGTGAACGTAACTGTCAATTCGGTTACGGAATCGTCGGCTGAGATCGCTTGGTCAGAGCCTGATGCAAATCCGGATCTGGTCGAGACGTTCACACTTATAATCAGGAAGATGGAACATGGAGCGTCGACCAGGGAGGTTAGTCTGAGAATACACATAGTTCTTATTGGTCATTCAAGATAGTATTTTTCTGTATCCGTCCATGAAAAATTTACATCTGTGGCAACACCTCCTCAAAGTCTATCCAAAATAAGCCGAATAACATAAATGATAAATAAAAGTATTAATAACACCAAAAATAATGAATATAATCTAAATGTAAATACTGTCCAGTAAGTAAGGCGTACGCTGTCTTGAACCAGTTTGTCCCCTTTATCCACTTCGCTATTGATTGACTCAGTGAACTGACCAATAGCGAAGTGGAGCAAATGGACATCCCTTTCGCTATTGGTCAGTTCATGTTTTGTCCAATAGGAAAGTGAATGAAGCTGATCAAGTGGATTAATCGTAGCGTGTAGCTAAAATATGTGGTGAGAACAGGTAACTTTTTTTTATTAATTTTGTTATTTGAAAGTTTTGTGAAATGACCAACGTTGTTAATTCTAAAATACTTTTTTAATGACTGGTAGATACGTAGGATAGTTCGCTGTTGACTTTTCTCTTGCCACGCCCATTTCTTGCTTGAAATATTTTGGAACACCAAAAATGATCTTTGACTTATACTTTTTTTTACAAATCGCTTTCTATAGACATCATCTGTTTTTCTGCTAATTTTTGTATCACTATTGTTAAGGTCCACAATGCCGTATCACCCCACACTGAAATTGGTTTGGATCCCGACAGCCAATATTCCGTGACGGTGAGGTCAAACTCACGAAAAGGACAATCTCTACCATCTACGGCCATTGTTTTCCACACCAAGTCGGATGACCATGGAGTTTGCGCAATTGGTGAACCACTGCTCATTTCAGGTAAGTTTGATTTGTTTGATGACGCGAAAAGTAAAATGTTTGATGCAAAAAAAAATCAAAATCTAAAATTTAGAAGGACGACCATTCATGTGCAACGAAGATCATCCATGCCCGCTGGACTTCCAATGTACAGAAGTGGACAATGAGAATTACTGCTGTCGAAAAGGTAAGGTTCTAAACAAAAAGAGTGCTGAGAAAATTTGAAATTTCTGATCGTTGGGGAAAAGCAACTGACGCAATATAGTTATTTTTCAACTTTTTCACCTTAACCAAATTCTGTGGTACATGGTTAATTAAGAAAACCACAGATAGAATTAGAAATCAAACGCAAAATAGCACAGGACTACCCAAAAACGAACATGATTTTTTTGCCAGAATATTTGTAAGGACTACAATAAGAGACTGAAGCCTGTACTCATCGTCTGAACAATTTGCTCAAGAGAATTTCTTCTTAGTCCCAATTTGAATTTTCTAGAATACGGTAACTCCGATGAAGATTTCCAAGAATGCTGCAAACATCAGAATGTGTCACCAGACTGTCAGTCGTCTTGTCACTTCAACTCTAGTCTTCCTGAGACATGCCAACGTAAGTTTTAGAATATCTTTTTGAAATTTCAGTAAATAATGTGCTTGTTCTTCCAGAAGATCTCAACAAATGGGTACAGTGCGCCTCAGAAGGTCGCGACCATTCTCGTTGCTGTGAAAAGGAACAAGTTCCGAAGGAATGCCTCACTGGGTGCCGACATCCCTTCCAGGTACGATTTTACATCCTTTGGTTTATTATAAGCTTTTTTGCTTACCGAGTGTAAAGTTCAGGTCCCCGACTCATGCTATGCCTCTTTGAACAAGCTGTCCACGTGCTTCTCGGCTCCTCATATAGGGCTACCCCAGGCTGTACAGAGGCTGAGGGTTACGGATATCAATTCTACTTCTGCGCTGCTTTCATGGGAAGAAAGCGATTACGGAATTCTCGGCTATAAAGTGGAGGTGGGCATGGTTTTTTTTTGTTGTAAAAAATTTGTTTGATGTAGGGAGATCAGGACGGTTAAACCCGCATTATTTATGTGAGACTGATTTGGCATTTTTAGCTAAGATTTAGCCAAAAAGCAAGCTCATACGGTTATTTGTGGCCAAGAAATTCGATTGTAGACTCTCGCCCAGACCTTATTCTTGAGCTGGCCAATTACCGTATCGAGTAAGCTGATTGGTTGCTTGGAAGTCTGGGCGAGAATGATCATAGGTTCAACTTCTTGTTTATCAGCGAGTTATAGTAGCTGCTGCCTGGATAGCGCCTTAGTTAAACCCCCCCAATTGATATTTTTCCATATGAAAAGCCCGCGCTTTGATTTGTTTCGAACCTACCTTCAGCATCTTGTGTTTCCTTGCTTATTTTCCCCAAATCGTTCATTATTTTGAAAAATTATTTTTAAAACTTACGATAAAGTCTTTTAGTTGTTCTTGAACAACGACATCGTTACCACTGCTGACATCACTACTGAATCCTATCGGATGGAAAATCTAATCCCAGGAAGTGAATATCGAGCTCGAGTCACAGCCCATAACGCCAAGGGTAGCAGCCCACCTTCATTCAATGTCACGTTCACCACACAACCGGCTAAGAGTAAGTTGTTCCACCAGATCTATTCACTCCGCCCCCACCTTGCGGTAAAATATGCCTTTTTTCAGTAACGGAAGGTGACAAGCCCAAGGCACCGGATGGACTTAGGATTGAGTGGAACTACGGTAATCGCGTGAATATCACTTGGAATGCCGTGGATAAGAACTTAGACGGCAGCAATATTCAAGGAGTCGTACAGTATGCCTTGTACTATGTGGATACCGAAAAAACTGGGCAGTGGACTACGGTAAGTTGCGTGCTCCTATTGGCCAATGCAGGCGCCTCACCTCTTATTGGCTAGTGAGATTTATAATCAATACTTCAGATCCAAACTAACAACACCTGGGTGGTAATGAACGAATTACAACGAGATGCACTATATAACGTATATGTGACCGCTACTGTTAACGGCAAGACTAGCGAGAGTTCTTCTGTAGTTACAGTGCTTGCTCAACCAGGTAAGCCGTCGTTCCTATGAAAACCTCACTGTAACCTCTTTTACAGACCGACTTGGCTTACCTGAACCTATCATTACAATCACTCCGGATCATCACGATGGCGTTTACCTTCAAAATGACAAGATTTCTATCAATTGCTCAATACATATGGATGTACACAAAGGACATTATAATCTGGATCTCACAGCAGGAAGCCATCAGGTAATTCTGATGTTCAAATCTGCTTACCAGTGTTTGAATCACCACCTAAATTTGTGTCAGAAGGGATAAAATGGTATGAATGTTAAAATAAATACATATAATGATTGGATGAATGAGGTATGGAATAAGGAAGCAGTACGATGAATGAATGAATGGATGAATGAATGAATGACTGAAGTGACTGAATGAAGGAATGAATGATCGATTGATTGATTGAATGTATTATGTTGTCCCATAAGTCTTTTCATATCTGACTTTTCACCAGCATAAGTCTGCTACTTTAAGATTTCTAATGGGATGCAGGGCACCGTTCGAAAGATCAAAGCAAGCTCTACCACATGGCTTTCAAAAGTCCGTGTCAGGCTTGATCCGCATCGAGTTTCAAGACAAAATGGAAAAAAATCCAAATTTCCGAAAAAGAAAATTATCATATCTCAGTTCAAAAACATTCTTCAAAGTTCCCACTTGCTCACGCATATAATCTCCACATCATATAATTATAACACTTGCTGCATTTTTCTAATGGCTAGAAATCGAGAAAAAAAATAATGCGCTCAATTTTCAAACTTTGCCTGCAATGGGTCTATGCTTCTCGCAAAAGTGTAAATATATAGCTTATTCACTCAAGAATATTCCCACCAATTTACACCCTTGTAGATGCCTTAGTTTTTGAGGAATATCACTTTAAAGGTACGAATATGAAAAGGCTTATGGGACATCCTAATATGAATAAATGACAAATGAATATAGATGAATAAATGGAGAAATGAACTCTGATTATAAAAGTGAACAAAGCTACACTACAGTTTGACAATATCATCGTTTCATATCTGAGCTCTCATCTATGTTTTTCAAATAAGCAGACGACAAGGATGAAATAAACGGTGAAGTGAAGTGAATGACCAGACGACTAGATGAAATGGATGAATTAACGCGTGACTGAATAATGAAGTGGAATGATTGAGCAAATGGAAGTGATAAATGATCACTGGGATGCATGATGGAATTGCGCGAATCATAAAAAGAAGGAATGAATGACCAGATAGAAGAATGAATCAATGAATGAACGACTGAATGAATGAATGAACAAATGATAAATTATGATTAGATGAACTGAATGAATAAATGCTTGTACGATTGCGTCACTGAATGAATGTATGATTAATGAAATAATTGGCTGAATGAATAAATTCATCATTGAGCGACAGAGCGAATCAGTATTTGATTGAATATTAGGTAGATGATCATAATGAAAAATGGGCAATTTTGGATGCGAAAACGTATTTGAAAAAGTTTGTTTCTAGGCTAGCAACGATCATGGAGTTTCTTGGGTGGCCGAAGAAGTGGAAGCCGATTCATCCATAGACACGGTTAAATGCGCTGTTACTGATACCGATGGCCGTCAAAATGTCGCTATGAGGAATTTGCTTGTCAAATGTATGTTCGCTCTGGATATCGCGCCCCCCCCCCCTCCCTACCTTTAAACCAACATTTTTTAGTTGGTCCCGTGGCCAAGATGGATAAGGAAAAAGTGCGGGCATTCGACGATCAGTCGGCTGAAATTTCTTGCACTGTCAAGGTGATAGCAGTAGCTCTTTTGAAAAAAGAGGAAGCTCTCTGCTTCCTCTTTTTTCTTTTTCAAGCTGGAAATTTTAGGGCTACCCAACTCCTGCTATTCGTTTCGAGACCGAAGGCAAAACTGTAATAGGTGACACTCGTCTCAAAGTTGTTGCAATCAACACCTACAAGGCTACACTTCACGTAAGCAAGGTACCCAAAGGTCCTGAACGGAAACTAAGAGATATTTTTCTAGATAAAGAACGTGAAAGGCAAAGCTGGTGTATACTCTTGCATTGCTGAAAAGGATGGAAGTCATTCGGTGGATACTGCTGAGCTTGTTGTTTCCAAAGACATTTTGCCTCCGAATCCTAAGGGTATAATAGTCTGCTGCGAAAAAGAGGGCATCGAAGGTGACTGCCAGCAAGCTTGCTCAGTTGGAAGGGTAAGGTTGTGTTGGGTTGTTTCAACGCTTAAATTCAGTTATTATGCTTGCAGGTCCCACCTTCTGTTGGTAATTGCTCACAATATGCGGCCAGTTTGCTCAAATGTGCAGCAGCAGATTTCCGAGATCATAGTGATTGCTGCGATCTGCGAGGAGTGTCGAAAAAATGCTTACCCCTGTGCTCAGGTACAATATTTTATTAACTGCACCCATAGTTATCAATATTGGATTTTTTTCAAGGTGATTCGTTCTCGACGGATGTGGACTGCACACCATTTGCGGTGACAATTATGGAATGTCGCGTTCGCGGGCATGAGAAGGAGGGAAGACCGGAACCGGTCAGAAATATTGACTATGATGTTCCAGAAAAAGGAAAGCTCAAGGTAGGTGTTCTTGAAGCTCATTCACTTTGACTCCGATTCAGAGTGTTCCTTATAACTTTGGTAAAGTACTTTTAAAAACTTGGAAATCAAGAGTAGGCCTAGTAAGTCTGCTCTTGTAGAGAGAAAATTTCTTTGAAAAACCAAGGTTGGAAAGCAGAAAACTAGAACTTTTTTCTCCATAAATCACGATTGGATCTGAGAAGAAACATAGTTTTCACATTCGGAGCCGAGACTGCAAAATTTTTTGAAAATTGAGTTCTAAAATGACTAAGAAAATGTTAAAATAAAAAATAAGTAAAAGATAAAAAAATAGCCTTATCGTTATTTCTCTATAAACCCAGAAGTAGGCCAAGAGAAAGCTAGCCGATTCTATTGCCTACAACAATTTTTTTCCATATAGGTTACGGTACCTGGTCAAAGATGGGTACCAGCCAGTGGCGGCCCCAGGATTGCTACGCCCCCAAAAAAATTTTTTTTCACAGGCTAATTTGAATTTTTAAAAAATTTTAAAAATTATTTAATTTTTTACAAGAATGAACAAGTCACTTGTACAATTTTTTAACCCATGTGGGTAAATTTCTCGTCCCCCTTCCCCCCTCGGACCGCCACTTAGCAGCTTAGTGTATAGACTCTTCACATGAACTAATTTATTATAGGTCACCTGGGAGGACAGTGATCCTAGCGAAACCTATCGATACTACGCTGTCTACTACAAGAAAAAAGATGATGATAACGGAGACTACAAGGTAGAAATTCATTCCAGCAATCAAAAGAAATTGCTTCAATTTTTTCAATTGTAGGTCGAAAAGGGCGTTTCACGGTCTGTTGAGCTTGACGTTGAACCAGATACTGCCTACGAACTTGTGATCATTTCGACAAACGCTTTCGGGATAAGCCCTGTGGCATTTTTGGATGTTCCATCGACAAGTGTTGGTGAGTAATTTTTACAACTTGAACATATTTTCTGGCTTAACTATGCTTTTCCAGGCAAATCGGGTTCAGGCGCAGGCTCATCAGCATTCTTCATCTTTTTGTTGCTGGTGTGCTGCGGTTTGGTCATACTTGGTGAGATTGCCTTTTATGAGAAATGCTATTCAGAAATTCCGAGGCAAATTTGTTTAGGAATAATCTACCTCGGACGACGACGTGACCTACCAGCACCGTTTGGTAAACTTGTGCGAAGACAACAACCACCACGAGGAGGTCCAACAGTTGCCTTTGAGAACCCAGCTTATGGTAGGAAAATTGGTCTTGGTTGTGTGCACTGCACAACAAACAATTTTTTTACAGTATCCGGTCATGAAGTCGAAATTCGAGGTCTTGGAGGTGGTGGTCATGCCAACGGCGACACTGAGTGGCAAAGTCAGGATCTGCAAGCTTCTGCCGCCCCGGAGGAATATCGTAATGGGATGCGATATGCAAAATTGGAATCTGCATAAAATGCATATGTAATTTTTGACTATATGATTATTTGTTCACTTCCATGAAGACCTCTTACCAGGGCCCGGCACGAGGTCGGCAAATGACAAGCTGGAAATCGTTTTGGGGCCAAAAAGCAAGGGGAAATCGTTTTTGCGGGGTCCGGGGCGGAGCCCCGGAAAAAAATTGGTAGTTCATGCTCGCTACTTATCTTGACATGTTATGTGCCTCAACAGGCGAACACTAGAGTTCGCGCGCGTCAAACCGCGCCGTCGCTAATTGCCGCACGCGCGACGTCGCCCAAGCGATGCTATTTGTAACAGCATGCATGACTAGTTCTCAATGTATGTGTAACGATATGGCACCAAATTTTGTATGCGAACGGAGAGAGGCTAGTGGAAACATAGTATGAAAATTTATGAAAAACTTATGTGAGCGGAACGAGTAATTAGCATTTTTTCCGAGAATTTCGCAAAACTGGTAAATGAAGATGTGAATTCAAACTGCTCGTTTGGAACGCGCAGATGAACGATATGGCATGAAACTTGGTAAATACATGCACACGGACTTGCAGGGCTTAACTGAGGAGTTTCATTGAAAAATTATGTGACTGAAGGTTGTGGCAAACTTTTTTCTGAAAATTTTGCGCTACCAAAGAAATGGAAAAATGGCTCGTTTGCAACGCAAAGGTAACGAAATCGCGCGGGATTCGGTGTGTGTATGCGCAGTAGGACTAAGTAACTAAGTGTGAAATATTATGAAAAACTTATGTGAATGAAAAGTTTCCTTAACTAATTTCCAAATTAGGTCGGCATTTGCCGACCTAATTCCCACCTGAGGTCGGCAAAACTCTCAGTTCACATAATTTTTTCAAAATTTTTACATAAATCTGTTGTACACCTAAAGTTTACTACATGGTGAAATTTTGGTTCCGAAACTCCTCCTCTTGACCTTGTTAGAGCCCAAAATCGCATCAGCAGCCTAGCTTTTTAAGATGGAAAGCGCGCTCCAGTCAATCGATACGCGCGGGAGCGGCGTCTCTCATTCCTATGACTGCGTTTCTTTGATATTTTCTCATTCCTTAATCATTTTCTTGCTTATTTTTCTTCCTGTTTTCTATCTTGATCCAGCTGAGGAGTAATTTGAGGAATTTGAGCAATTTGGGCGCTTTTGAGCGCTTTTGAGCGAAGTGTGGCCGGTAATCTCGTCGCACAAGCACAAAACGTCATTTTTGGGCTCAAGGGGGTATTCGTAAAATTTATTGGGATCAAAGGGGAATTCGTTTTGGAAAACCCCGTTTGCCCACCTCGTGCCGGGCCCTGCCTCTTACTCTTCCCATAGATGTATGATAAGACAAAATGACGCTCCGCAACAATGTGGCATTTTCTAAAATTGTATATTATCCACGAGGTATCGCTGACACCCCTAAAATCTGCTTTTCTCAATATTTAAATCTTTTTTTTATCAAGTAATCATTCATGTCTCATGTTGACATCGTTGAAAGCTCAATATTCTATAACTATGTGTTTGGAGTGTCGATCATTTCATAATTTAGTCTGTTAATTTTCTTGTTAGTTTCTACACAACGATGGTAGCACGACGGGTTTTCTTGTGAGTGTGTTTTCAGATTGCGTTTTGAATCGATAATAAAATCTTCTCATCATGTTTGAAATCTTTCAAAGTTGCTACATGCGTTTGGGACACAATTCAATTCGTGCTGAGTCGAATGGATGTCGAAGAACTAAAACTCGAATCGCAAGAAAAGTTTATGATAAGTACTCTAATTTCACGCGTAAGGCGCACCTTTTTCGATTTCCACCTAAGCCCCTCAGCCGCTACAAATTATTTCGGAAAGCGATCCTTATGCCGTATGATTCTCTTAAGCAATATACAGCAAGGCTTGGGTTCCTTTGCTTGCGAAGTCCTCTGGCGTATTTGGGCTGGTCGATTTTGGAAAAAAATCTTCCGCGCCTTGTACGCGTGAAATTAGTGTAATTTTGACGATTAAGATGAAATGAATAAGGAGATGGAAGCGACAAATACTCAAAAAACCGGAATTTTTCCTTACTAATGGCCAATACGGAGCCGTAAGCTTACAAAATCACTTCTCTTACTCTTAAAAATGGGAATACGTGCTGCTGATATGCTCCATAAAAATCAAATTTATTTCGTGTAGTAGGGTCATTTTATGAAGAAAACAGTTTATGAGAGAGGGTGGTGGCTCGCCTCTGCACCATTCATTTGACGCTCGTTTGCCAAAACCACATCCTCCTCCCATAGGATGCGCAATTGCAGCCAGCAATTTGTGGAGCTTTTGCCTACAATGCCTACAATTGCCGTCTTGCAAAACTCAAAACAACATAAGATCAAAAATGGGCAACAGCCTAAGGCCACTGGGAGAGTTAAGCTCGCCCTTGGCTGCCGATGGGGTACTTGCTCACGCTTATTCCCCTTACGCTGCTCTCCCACCTCCAAAGTAGCAAAACCCCAAAACCGTCAGCCGCGCCGTGTCTTAACGCGCACCGTTAACACGGCGCGGCTGACGCTAACTTCACGGATTTGTCACTACGATCCTATGTAGCTCCGCAATCGTTCTGCTCGTCAAAGCGTTATCAGATTATCGTCATCCCGCTGTTCCAATCCTTGGAATTCATCGGACCATCCAATCCTTCCAACATACACTCGCTAAAGGCGCGGGGACGCAGGCGCATACGCAGTATCACAGTTCAACCAATCAATAATACGGACGATACCACTGAAGGCCAAAAAAGACGCAGAAAACGAGTTACCGCGTTATATATAGCCGAGGCTGGAGGGGTGCCTGCATATTAGTCCGGCAACGAACGTTGGCGGACGCTGGAACACAACCACGCCCAAAACCAAATAGCGTCGCGTCGCGGTGCTCCTGCCCAAGAGTATCGAGGAGGATCGATGAAGGAGGAGATTCTACAAGGGAAGTATCCCAAGTTGCAGTGGAGAAATGGAGTAATATACGTACATTTAGATGCATCTTGAAGAGCTGACTCCAAATCTACCTTCCGCCTCTGCTGCTGGATTTTCTGGAAAAGATCATGAGGGTTAATTGGGAAGTCATTGGGGTCTTAATGCATGATGTACATTTGAATCAGCTTGGAAGTGTATAACTGGCAAGGTTTGAGTGTAAAAAAACAGAAAGAAGATGAAGCATAAATAAATGTTGTGAACAACTAATTCTTGAAAAGATGCCACTAAACGTTCGCCATATCTGGACCTTCGAACACTCGTATCTTCCTCAGAGAAAGACAATGAGAACACATTTGGACTCAGCTTAACAAGATCCATCTAGTGACATGCATTTCGTTTCAGAGCGCCAGAGTTTTGAGATCCTTTCCTGGTTAGGTCGTCGAAATGGAGGATATCGGGCGGATATCTGCAGCCATCACAGCCCATGCTGGATGTTCGCGGGCTGGAAACTATGGCTATCTGTGGTCCTTTACCCAAAGTTATCAAGAAGCGGTGGTCCACAACAAGAGATTTTATAACAAAGATATTGTAGAGATTATTTCAAGTCACCGTTTAGCGAGATTATCGACAAAGCAACTAGGTCTCACCGGGTAATTGATAAGTAAATCTAGCCTTCTTCAAGTATCATTATCACTCAAGATTCTCATCGGTTAGGACAATATTTAAGCTGATTTCAAACTTACTCTTCATTTCTACACTTTCACCACCACGAGTGGTGCGACATATGGGAGCAGAGCAGTCATCAATACAAAGATCAAAAGCTGCTCCTACCCAGACTCCACCGCCAGGTGGGATTAGCTAGTGCTACAGCTACTCTGGACTACTCCAAATTGCGTTTAGATTTTTCTACACCGCAATCGGAACCAGAGATGTCTTCATTTGCCTCAAATAGTGCTCCTGCCGTTGCCACCGCCACAGATGCGGAGGTACGAATTTATCGTGTACCGCTTGCAAGATTGCGATGCATCTAGATCTCCTTAATGAGAGCAGAAAATATCGCCGAAGTACCTCTTTAAAAAGAAAGGAATCCCCTCTGTTAGTCAATGACCAATGCCAGAGTAGGTTGCGCAATCAAAAGGGCATTACAACCATTAACGCCAAAACAGTTGCTAAACTTCAGTATCTTGCTCAAACAGGTGCTTAAAATCAATAGAAAGTAATATAAATAATATGATCAATACCGATTATACCAATAAACGTTACGATGCCTTTTTGACACTGCAGCGATCGGTTAGCTGACCTAACGTGTAAGTAAGTTGTAAGTTCTTCCCCCCTCCTCCTAACCCCATCTCCCTTTCCCAAATTTGCAACGAACCGCAACATAGTTGGAAATCAAAATGATGGCATCGGCATCTTCAGTCCTAAAACACAAATGTGACATGGGCTAGTATTTAACAAAGGCGGATGGTTTAACTTGAGAGATTGATGCAATGGGAGCGGTTGCCTCCACACACGATTTGTCTAAGCCCCGGACAGACTTCACGCGATTCGATCGTCGCGACTGATTCGCGACGAGACAACTGTTACAACATCATTCCATGCCGATCAACTTGCAATTTGGTTGTGATACTTTTCCAGCCCGAAATTTTTGAACGTGAAATGAAAATGAATGGAAATGTCGGCGATTGAGTCGCGACGATCAAATCGCGTGAAGTCTGTACGGGGCCTAAGACCTAATTTTCTCGAGATCTCAGTCACCAGGCGATCTGGGGATCTGCCAGACGTCTTTAGACTACTTTTTAGCGCATTGTGATCTGCAAAAACACCACTTTCGAAAAGTACTTACTGGTATCTTTTACGTTGGATGGGAGCTGCGTTACATCCTTGCGAAAGCACCTCTGCGGAAGAATTTGAGAAACGTGGAAACGGAATTTAGAGGACATACGGCACATCAAAAGATTCTCCTTGACGAGCTGAACACAATGCTGCTTTCGGGTTCAGAAAATATTCATTGCGCAGGAAGTTATGGCGCCGCGTAATTTTATTCCCGGAGTTCCGCAAAATTTTCGAAATGTCGCGAAATTCCGGGAATTTCGCGGACCGAAATTCCGCAACATTAACGGAAATTTTGCACATTCTGTGGGTGGTATTGTAATGTGTGTAAATTTCATAGATGAGTAAAATACTTCATCTTCCGTACATTGGGAATGCGCATACTATGAGTTATGGACAGCTAGAATGCCAAGTCACCTCGCAACTAAAAGCTGAAGCCTGCCCAGGCCTGCACTTCTCCATCTTTTCTATCGCAGAGGCCCCTGATTTTGGCTTGACTCGGTGCGGTCTAGACTGGCGCCTCCAACAATCAGGCTGACCTTGTGATGAGGTCCTTTCTGATCAGGAAATATTGTTGGACCATCACATTATGTATGAATTCGACCAAATTACTACCATTAGTAACATGTTTAATTGATGAAAGCAAGACTTTGATGTTGGGTACAAGGAATCGATAATTCAAAAAACCCAATTTTTTTACAGCAACAGATACCTCAGCTCGTCACAGAGCCTACACAAATTACTCCAGCTCCTATAGCCACGGTTACCCCTACAACAACTACCACTTCTACTACTAACATGGATCCAGCTGTAGGTCTGTAGATTCATCGTGGACGTGTTCTCTTTGATAATTGAAGGTATCTCAGACATGAGCGTAGATGAAGTACCGTATCCGTTCAGAGAAAAAGTAAAAAATTTATCACTCGAGGAACGCAAGGTGAGTAAAATTACTTGTTTTTTTTCTATTTCCCCTTCCTGCTTGTCGCGGCTGTGCTGTGCGAGCTCTCCTAAAAGTATACTGGCCGGGAACATTGTTTGCAGCGCTACCCGACGATAATTACGGTATTTTACACGCATTGTCACAATCGCCTCCGGGCCTTTTCTTGCCAAAGCGCGCTGTTAGCCAGACTATAGCGGCGGCGCCTGATTAGGGCGTCCATCTGCTTTCGTTTGTCATTTTTCCTGGTGCTATATTGTGTGTTCACCGACCTGCTGAGCCCCCGCTTTGTATCGTCTTTGTCATGTTAGCGGTCGAGCGAATCGTAATTGAGCTTGAGCTGAAATCGGAATGAATCTTGGATTGATTTTGAGCGAATACTTGGAACTTTTGGGATTGAGGATAGTAAGTGCTAAAGAGTTTTGGGAGCGGAGAGGCTGATTTAACGTGTCATCCTTGGCGGCGTACGATGGCTAACTTGAGAGAAGCCTTGAGAGCATCATGTTCGCGATTTGGTTGGACGCGCACCCGGTAGAACGGGAGACGCACCTTGTACCGTGTTAGGGCTTTACTTTCGTGTATTAGCTTAGTAAATCTGTAGATTTTAGTTTTGTCGCACGCGTTAGGGCACGTGTAGGTTAAGTATCGAGTCGTAGAGTAGAGTAGAGTAGAGTAGAGTCGAGAGTAGAGTCGTAGAGTATAGAGTCGTACTCACAAGCAAGCGAGTCTTGGCTACTTGAGTTAAAAGCGATGTAGGCAAATCTGGGCGCATGGGTTTTTTGCCTGGAAACTGACAAGTAGGCAATAGCTGAAGCACTGCCCAAATGGCAGCGTAAATTAATCCATTCACGGTTGAGAAAGCCGTAACCAAACACTCGGCGCTTGCGCCTGAGCATAACTCTCGAGTAGTTGGGATGAGTCCCAGCGCGAACATAGTTAAAGTGAGCGACGTCATTCCGGGTTATGGTCGGCACGGGTGCGAAGGTTTTGGGGATGATCGCAAATGATCCACTCACGGATTTCTCATCCGTGAGTGGATCATTTGCGCTGCCGCTTGGGCAATGCTTAGTTATAGCCCTTTCATCAGTTTCCGAGCGAAAAACGCATGCGCCTAAGTTTGCCTGAACACCGCTTTTTAAGTTTGGGTGCTTAGAGCCTACCGAGCCACCACACTGCCTGCGACTGCAACAACTAGTAGGAAAACAAGATAAAGCAAAAAGCTGACTTCCCATGCAGATTACACAAACACATAATGCATTTTCCTTATCATTATAGCATTAAACAATCTGCTCTCGAAGATCGTCTTTATCTATAGTAGTTGCTAGTCCGAAAACAAAAGGTTCATTTAATGAACGGTAAAGTAAGGGATAAAGGATTCGGCGTCTTCAATACTCTTGCGGACATGCGCCAAACGCACTCTACTTCTTATTCGAAAAGGCTACTGGAGGTGTGCGAACCTTTTTGTGTGTCTTACAGGGGCTAGCCAATTATCAAAACAGTGCTTTTTCCCAGAATTACTCTGGTACCAACTTACCGTCTCCGGAGGATAGACGGCATCGAGCTCGCGCAGAGGCTCGCATGATTGTTGTACGTTTGCAAATCAACTGCATTCCAATCTTAATTTTTCTCATGGAAAATTTTTGTCTATAAACGTGTTGATTTGTGTAAAAGAAAGTGGAAAAAACTAACTAACTTTTTCCTTCACTATACGGAAAACCAGGTATAAATACGATCCGCAGGGATATCGTAAGCATAGAAAAAGAAAGGGAAAAGGAAATCGAAATAAACTGACCTCAGATCAGGTATAAAGTAAGTTTCCACTGGCGCAAAGAAATGGTTTATTATAATGCACTGTAATGCAAATATATTTGTAAGTATGGAAAAGTTTAAGGAAAGAGTGTGTAAACGAAAAATGTAGACGTTAGACGAGAAAATCTGTGTCAATTCAATTAGTCATGTTAAGGAAAGATATGAAGAAGAAATAAGACGTTTATTCGAGAATCCCCATCCTACACATGTGCAGCGATTAATGCCAGAAAAAATTGTAACAGAAAAGGTAACTAAACCTTATTCTTCAGAGGACAGTTGAAGTCAAACTGAACGAAAAAAAATTCCATCAGACCAGAAACCCTTTTCTTCTATTACTTTAAATTTCTTGCACTATAGCAAAACCGCCGTTTCCCAGACATCATAGCACATATGATCGGCTCCCAGATTCGTGTGGAGGTGTATTACAGACTTTGCCTGATAACACATGTAAACCTGCTAAACCTCCACGTCATAGCATTGCTTTTCGTAATCTCTCGCTAGCAAAAACCGTCACGCGGTGAGTTGGCAAGACTCCACCTCCACACGAATCTGGGACCGATGATAGATGAAAACTCTAACTTTTAAGGCAGACGTGGTTAATCTACCGAATTCAAGTGTTAGTTGGAATTCAATACAAACAACATACGATATTGGAAAAGGAGCGCTTAATCAGAGGTCGAGTGCCTTTTCAAAAATTTCTGAATATCGAGAGGCCTCCTAACGGGCATAGGCTGGGTTTATACTGATCCGCAAGTTCCGGAACAGTTGCTGACACAGCAGTCGAAGTATTGTGCTGAAACTGTTTCGGAACTTAGGGATCAGTATAATCTCAGTCTAGAAGACCTTTTTTTGCAGATCATTTAAGCGTTGTAACCGCTCTAAAGCTGATCCATGGAGACGTTATGGTGCTTTGAGGAAGTTGCATGAGGTCTGGAAATCATTCTAATCTGATGCAAACACTCATCGAGATTTTTCAGATCGGTGGCACGGGATGTCTACCTCCAAACCAGGGTGGACTACGTTTCCAACAACAGAAGTTCTACACAATCGCAGCTGGATCACCTCCGCCTCCACCTCCTCGTAAGCCTGAAGTATTACTAGATTGTACTATCTTCGTCTTGAATAAGGAGACTGAAGGCTGGGTCAAAAATAGAAATGAATCAATTAGCAATCAGGGTGACGAGATGAAGCAGTATGCAAATATAGTTCAAGCATATGATTCTTGTGTGAAAGCAACGCTCTTAAAAGTTAAAATATTGATGGAATATCATGTTTGAAAAAAATTGAGTTCATTTGATGACTTAATAATCAATATGTTTTCAGCAAATCCTCCTATAACCACCATCGAGGAGTACGGTTCACCAGAATCGTTGTTAGCGCCAAGGAAGCGAAAGCCGAAGCAAATTTCTGAGAAGCGCAAATGAGAGGGCGAAACCAATACGACATTACTCTAACCTTATGTCGAGTCAATTGATTCGTAATTAACAATAAAGTGGTAAAGTTAACTGCTGTTTTTTCGCATATTTGTCAATCGACACAATGAGCCACATTTTTTATTTGTAGTTTTCTTTTGCAAAATAGACTGATACTTTCTGGTTTGATAGGAAGGGTGGCCTACCACACCACAAACAGGATTGAGCACGACTCAAGACTTTGTATAAGGGTTGGGCCAGACTGCGCGGCGCATACTTCGTACGCGGCGTACGCAACGTGTACGCAAATGTGCATAAAGATATGGCGCGTTTGCTGCGTACGTGGTTACGCCGCGCAGTCTGGCCCCCAAAAAGAGAAAGAACTTCTGTGCCTTTTAGCCTTCAGTGTAAAACGTGTACAGTCGATATTTTGATGATCATGTGTAACTGCACACACTGTCCACCTTTGGCGTCCGCATCCTAGAATTGCAATCGCAGAAACGCAAGAGACCGACCGATTGTTATCGCTTACATCACTTTGTGGTGACTAGTTACCTAAAAAGGAGAAAAAAACATGGAGAAAATATCGAAAACACTTACAGGCCCCGCAAAATCCAATTGCCACGCGTCGCTTTGAACACCAAAGCGCGGCGCGGCTGGAACCGTCTGGTCCCGAAGCGCTACAGGCTTTTTGCAAACGACAATAAGCGCGCACTCTTTCCACGCATATTTTTTCAAGCTTTTGAAGGGAGCTTTCCTCAAGATATACCTTGCATTGACGAGAACAGTATGGAAATCAAAGAAAGATTTCTTGGAATATAGTGAACGCTGACAGTCGTTCGCGACGACCGCTCGCTTACGCTGGTGTTCAAGGCACGGCGCGGGCAATTAAGTTTTGCGGCGCCTATACCAGAAAGGTTATCTGTTCCTAAAATCCAGGATGAAGACGCCAAAGATGGACAATATGTGTAGTGACATACATAATCATATAAAATGATTCGACTGTATTCACAGTAGTAGAGGAACGGCTTTGCAAACTCGGCGCAGTGTCCGGGCGGGTCCGCCGCCGGACCCAAACCGTTTGACTCTCCAGATAAGACAGAGGGCAAGGATGTGCCTCTTCTATTTATTGATTCTGTCACGTCTACTTTGCTGCTTTGCTTGAAGATCCGCGGGTGGTAGTAATATCGTCATGTTATGTAGTTTACCAAATAAGCATACGATAAACATGCTTCGCATACAGAAACACAGTTTCAACTCATTGTTGAGATGTCCGCCATGCATAGATTGCATAGTACCCTAAATACACTGGCTATAAAGGCAAGCTAAAAATTGAAACAATCTTGTGCTGATAGTACAGCAATTTTTGCCTGTCGTCGCACAAATACTCAATCCCACAGTAAGGCCCCATGAAATAAAATACAATTCTGTTGCAAGAAAAGTCAAGAAATCACTCATGGTTTTGCGCCAGCCAGGTTTCTTGGTGTGTATGCTTTATCACCCAGATTTCAGAGGTTTCTCTTCTTTAGAGGATTAAACGCAGATCGTGAGCATTTTGATCTGTACCGCATATCTCCAAGGGCCCCTCTACTTTGCAGTTAAACCTCACTTGGGGTAGGAGGCAGTGTATGAGCTAAGCTGCGAAACGAACCAGACTTGTGCCCATGATCCATTCTACCAGTTTTAGCTATCTATGTCACCTAAGACAATCTCATCTTGCACTTGTGCTCGGTTGATGGACATAATTCTCGGAAAAGTTGTTTGCGGTGTATATTTACAAGTGGTACCCGTTACAAATATCATGATGCTAGCCTTCGTGATTCGAACGCTTCTAGCTACCTTACGCTCTCGCAGTCTTAATCAATGCCTTGTGTTGAGCTAGGGTGATGGTCATCCTCAAACTTTCTCGAAAAACTGGAAATCCTCGTCGAAAGAGCGCAGCAATTGGTCTGCTACGCTGCTTGCTGAGCGAGGTTTAGAATCAACATAAGAGGCGGCTCATGGTGGTGGTGAACAAATCAAAATGTCTTTGATCTATGTTCAGACCTTCGAAGAAAACGAATTCGTCAAAGTAGGGACTAAGAGCATATTCGACAAGAAAATAGTTGGCCACAAATATAACGACACACACAAAATGCCCAGGTTTGAAGGCCAAAGAGCATTTCAGGTAGCACTTTGAAGTCTCATAATGCTGTATGAATATTCAATATACAGGCAACATAATATAAAACTTCATATTCATCAATTCTTGTCTACAAACATAAACAACAATATCTGAAAGAAAGAGAAAGGCAAGGAATGTTGAGAAATCGGTAACACGCATTATGAATGATAAAGTGTTCAAGAATATCAAAAAGACGAAAAACTTGACAGAGCACCACATTGGCGAGTCAATAACAAACTGAGAAAGAAACAGTTCACAGCGAATTTGAATTTACATCTCCACTAATGCACCAGTGAAAGACAGCTGAGCTTGCACAGAAACGGCACCATCAATTATTAGAATTTCTTTACCTACTCAACAACTCATTTGGGTAGTTTCGATTTGGCAGTGTTAAGGGAGTGACAGCCCCAGACAACGATAAGAGCAGAGAAGAGTAAACATAAGACGGATACAGAGACTACAGAAGAGACAAACCACGTCTCGGACATGCACACCAGGTCGTCAAGAGGGTGCAGGCTGAAAAAGTGAAAATTTTTCCGAATTATCTGAACAAAAATATAAAGATCTCTCTTACCTATGCATAGTGTGATTGTTTGACTGCAGCTCGTCTTCCTCACCCTTTGCTAGCACTCGGATGATTGCGGAAAGGGTCTCTTCGGACTGACCTTCAGTAGGAGGTGCCGAACGCTTCTTACGTCCGTGAGACATGAACAGCTCATTCGTGCCGGAATCGAGGCAATTCGACTGAAACAAATAGTTTGCAATGAGGTCCAAACACCTTCAACTGGTTTGGAAACTATTGATTATGGTCGAAATATGATTTTTGAATTTTTTGATCATTCAAAAGCGACAAAAACCAGTTCTTTCTGTGAACTTGGGCCCTTCAATTTTGGGGGGCCGTGTAATAAAAAAGGACTCCAAGAATGAAATGGTTCATACTGACCACTGGACATCCATTTGGTCCAGCACAGAACATAATCGAGCAGATTATCTGGACATCGTAAGAGCCATCAAGACGGAACGCACGCAAATCGCTCTTCAGTCGATTCTTGTCGAAATCTTGCTCGACTGGTCCTACTAAAGCGGGATATCGTGGGCATCTAAAATCATCAAATTCCTTGTTAATGTGAAAGAGGAGACTCTGAGTGGTGCTTGACATACCCATTTTCAATGAGGGTAAAAGGCACGCTGTCTCCGAAACCTCCGACTCTGGTGGCGGTGCATTCAGTGATCATCATGTTATGAGGTCCGGCTTGTTCAGAGGTGATCACCAACATAAGTGGGTCTCCGATCGAGGCCTAAAATGTCAAAAATTCGAAAACTGCCTCAAAAATTTTTATTTGAAAAGAGATGGGGAAAGACACAACCAAAAAACAAGTGACCTTGTGAAGAGGCTCTTCGAGCTGGTTGAGGATGGTAAGTTCAGCGGTAACTGGAGGAGGAGTGGCTACTTCCAAGACGGTAGTGTTTTGTGAGCTAAATTAGCAACTTTTGCATTATGTAAAAATAAAACGTGTACCGTGCCCCTACCTAGCCTCATAGATTGTGGTAACGACTACGGATCCTTCCTTGGTCATCTTATCCATGGATACATCGCAAGACACTCGGTAGAATCGATCCCACTCAGTGGTTACTTGATGTGGAAGGACACCATCAAGAGATACAACAACCAGTGCTTCCATCTTTCCATCCTATAAAGCGTAGTATAATTTTGTAAAAAAAATAAACAATGTGCGGATATTTATCTCTTACCCGAATAACAGTTCCGCAATCAGATGACACCGTGGGGGGTGGGAATGTGATGCTGATTTGCTTGGCATTTTCGACAACCTAGAAACTATTAGCATAAGAACTGAACACTAGAATTTTAAGAATATTTTTCTTACCTGTGAGCAAGTCGAAAATCTTTCAGCAGCGTAGATGGCACCAGTGTATGGTTCCTTAGTGTTAACAATAAACCGGATGCCTTCATTGGTACAAAGAGCCATGCCTCCAAATTGTGATTCTGCAAAACACATGATGATAGTTGCCTTTTAGGGTGTAGAGTTGTCCTTCTTGCTCATTTTCGTAGAACCAGAATTCTTTTTCTCAAAAAATAAGTAAAAAAACCGCTGCACCTACCACAGTTGAACTCGTAGTAATCCATAGCGGGATTAGCTTTTACATTAGCATCGGCACGGCCAAGAGCATAGATGAAGCAAGTAGCTGCAGTTCTGAAAAATTATTCCATTGTGAAATTTTTCACAAATTTTCCGAGGAATAAGCTGCAGAAGAGCACAACTTTCTTCACATGAAAAATTTCTGCACAAGAATTTATAAAGAACAATAGTAAAAGACCTTACTTATTGAATTTTGGATATTTTTAGGTTAGCTAAGAAATGGGTAAACCAAACCTTACCTATCATAATTAATGCTCTTGCAATTGAGATTTTGGAAGCACAACGATATGCAATCAGCAATGGTGACTCCTTGAGCGGAGGCAACAATCTATAAAAAAATTTTTTTTAGTATTCCCATTTTTGCATTTTTTTCACTTCCAATTTACTTACCTCGCCCTCAATAGAAGATCCAATGAATCGTTCAAATGCCGCTTGCTGGCGGCAAGTCGATGAGGAGAGGTCAGCTGAAAATTATTCATTTCTATCAAAAATCTTGAATTTTCCATTGGATTTTTAAAATTAGAGTAAATGGTATAAGCTAATTTTAATGGGAGTACTCGCATGAAAAGGATTTTTTTTTTCGAATCAAAATGAGTAGCTTCGCTATTTTGTGTCATAGGATTTTTAGGGTATTCTAAAGAAAGTTGAAAACCGTAAAAAAATTCAAATTGCGCTTTCTATCAACTGTCCTTCCCAGTTTCCTTCTATTCGTGATCAAAGTAAAACCCGATAGCTTATCAAGATTTTTTTTTGCTTGAAAGATAGAACCGTCCAGCGTTGAGTCTTCCTTTTCTCTGCCCCCCCCCCCTCCTGCTCTCTGAAAAAAGAGTCACAAAAGTTTTGGGAAATGGTCCGGATGAGTTACACCATATAATTTGTTCAAAAGCCCTGCAAAGAAATTTTTGCAAAGTTGGAACCTTGCGAAAAGTTTGAAAGGTTACAGAATACTGGAAATTGTTTTCCATTCGAAAAATATCTGTTCCCGCTCCCCAAAAAGAATTCTCTTATCACTCCTTCCCCCAGATACTTTGTCGGTATTTGTGACGATCACGAATGAAGGTGAAGGACGTCTTAGCACACTATCTGTCGTACACATCGCCGTTGTCCTACTTTGCAACATCGTTCGTAATCGTGCCTCTTCCCCTCCCCCTCCCCCCCCCCCCCCTCCCCCTTCCCGATGTGATACATAGCCCCTCTGCGGTTTTTATTTGCATTGTCAGAAAGCGTGATAACCATTACAATTGGACGCAAACCGAATCCTCGAACAGGATCAAAAGATTTCGATTTCTTCAGAAACCTGTTCGATGAGTCAAATGTCCGTTTGCTATCTCAAGTACAGTTTTTGCATCAGAGATTGAGGCGTTACGGACAGCTATGGTTTAAAAAACAGAAATTCTGAAACAGGATGTGAGGAACAATCACCGAGGCCCTTCTAAAGTTATGGAATTTTCAGAAAAAGAAAGGAGACATTCAAGTAACAATTTTTATATGAGAGGAGTCTACATTTTATTGAGATTAACAAGAATACGGTGGCCAAAAATACGGTATTGGGCTTTCTTAACAAATAATCAAAGATATACGGTATACAGTGAAAGTGTAGACGGGTTTCTAAAGAAGATATGTTCAGTTTTTTAGTAATTTCACAAAGCTTCACAGTTTTTTCCGCAAAATTTGAGACAAAAATTTTGATATATATTTCTGTATCTTTCGAAGTTTAGAGCAAGATCCCATTTCATAAAAATTGATATTTATGGTAGTCAGAGATATACGGTAGCAAAGTGAAAATGTACTTTTCTGAGAGAAAGTAGTTCTTTCAGAAACTTCATTGAAGCAGACGGTTCAAAGTTTCTTTCCAAATTGAAAAAAAAGGGGAAAAGTTTTGTTTTTGCGGACAATTTCGGGAATTGATGATAGTCTTTTCATTCGAAAATATTTTTCCTGTGAACGAGAACTTCTGAACCTTAGAAAAACATGATAATTTGAAATATTTCTCACTGTTTCTCGCTACTATGATTCGAAGGTTTTTTTTAATGCAAGCGCTACTTTCTTATTTTGATTTCTTTGGGGACAAGGAGAACCTTTTCGCAAAAATTCAAGATCATAATTCGCTGAGTGGGGAAGGGCGTTAAAAAGTTACTTCAAAGATTATGCTGCAAAATACATTCTAATCATTCCCTTTTTTTCTTCAGGTCCCTTAACTTTTGCGCAAGAATCTGTCCTAAAGGTGATAGTGATTCTTCTAGGTCAGTGGTTTCGCTTTGCCGCTATGACGACAGCTGCGCCGACTAAACGACCCAAATTCCTGGTTCAGGGCAGGAAATGGTCGTTTTCTGCGTCTTTGGTTTTTTTACACTCATGATTTAGAAGTTTCCAACTAACCTGCAACGCAAATTGGCTCATAGTAATCTTTGCCGACGACTTGGCCTTGTTGATCAGCTCGTGAGAAAGTGTCTTCATCGGAAACGATGCAATTTTTCTCGGATGGGTTGAATTCGACGGATCTAAAACATTTAAGGTAAGCAAATTTTGGAGCGGGAGGGGGGGGGGGGGAGGGAAGAAAAAGCAGGGGAGGTAGTTACCTGCAGAATGTATTCAGAGAGTCCAAGCACTTTTGTAGACAGTAAGATTCTTGAGCTTCAACCGATTGCGTGTGATCATAGAATTTGATTTCAAAGTTGGTAGTTTTTACAAAGACGAGGTTTCCTCCCGATGGCCCGCATCGATTTTGGCCTAAACCAAGTAAATTTTAAGGCTATTAATTTTAAAAGAATTAAAGGTAACCTACGAGTAAGGCAGTTATTATCGTAGTAATCAACAGCTCCATCAGCCATACGAAGATGTGTTGGCTTCGATCTACAAAAGTGCTGTTTAAGCATACAAGTAAACTTTACCCACCCAAAATGAAAAACAGTAATAGGTTACCTTCTGTCCTCAGTGCTAAGTTCACAAAGGTAAGAATCATAGTTGTAGTTTACAGATTTGCAAACGAATTCTTTTTCCTTGAGGCATGCTGATAGGCATTGTTCTCGGTTGGCCACCTAAAAATCGATAATTTCTTTAAAGTTTTTCTGGTTTCTCTTAGATTAAGAGCAAAAGCTTGTGGCAGCTTCAATGAATATTTCTCACTTTTTCAAGAACAATATTTTTGGAAATTACACGCTAGCACGATCGCTTTGATAACGAATTATATTACATGGGCTCCGAGCACATTTTTATGCTTACGATTAGACCCCTTCCGTTGAAGTATTCTATCGTAATGATCTGTACCAAATCCCATAAATGGAATGTAGAATGTTTGAGAGATATAGAAAAATCGTGCGGAATCGTATGTCCGACACGTTAACCTCAATTTCCGTTACGGGTGTCGTTTTCGTCAGATGTTTCGCCTATCAAAAAGTAACATACTTGGAAAGGCAAAAGAACACTTTGATGGCGGAGGGGGGGGGGGTAGGAGGGGGTACTTTACGGACATTTATGAGGAGGTCTTCTGAAGAACTTGAAGTGGAGTGAGCTGGGATAAAAGAGATTGGATAATTTCCAAATACATGTATATTTCGATTTTTCTTTTGAGGAATCAAAGCAGTTTAGAGCAAAGATGTGACATTCTCGAACTTACAAAATTTTTGAATATGTTGGTTTTAAGAAAAAAATACATGTTCTTCACTTTGTAATAAAGTAGATACGAGGTAAAGGATTAGATTCATTGAAATTGGTCAGATTTTCCTACTGAAGCTCCAAGAATCTGCAGGTTTTAGCCATTTGGTAAAGATTCTTTGCGGTCCTAAGATTTTGTATATATTTGTCATAAGAACAGAATTAAGTCCAAATCTACCTGAACGCTTTTCCTCACGAATCCTTCTAGAACAGTCTTTCGCATTCGCTCAAACGAGAATGAACGATAGGTACAAGCCTCATGGGCAGAAACGCCAGGAAGGCAAGTTTTCTCATAGTAGAAGTTGTTGGCTGACGGATTAGCTGTCAGCTGACTGGTACCTACAATCAGCACACGTTTACGAAATTTTTCAGAACATAAGAGGCTGAAATCTTACCAGCTGGTGATGCAGCATCATCGAAGAAATAGCAAGTTTCCCGTCCATCAAAGTTGAACGATGCGCACACTCGTTGAGCACCGGTAGTAGGTTCAATGTTATTTCTACAGTATTGAGCACATGTGAGGTCGTGACCTGAATTGCAATCATTGAGAATGACGTTTTAAGTGGAGTTCTTTTGCTGCTCTTATATGAATGTGTCAAGAGGGTGCCTATTCATGCTTCGAAGCTTTTTTCAGGAACAATAATGGGACCATAAGGGGTCGCTCATTATGTTCATCTTGTTTGATGGCTCTCAACATCCGATATGAGCATTCAGTAGTCGAGCAATGCTCAAAATAGTATCAACATGTAATTTTTAGATTTTCCATGAAATTTTACCAAAGTGTTCATATATTTCTAGTGGTTCCAGGATTAGTCGGAAAGAATCCATGGATTTTTATAGAATTTTTACATTCGATATTGAATATGAGATGACCGTTCGTAGAAGCTGAACGATGAATTTTGTTGAAATTTAGTTTTATAATCGACCGCAGAAATGATGACTTTGTTGTCTGATTCACTCACACTGAGCACAGAGAGAAATTTGGAAGTAGTATGTTGAAAAATATGTTTGCTTGGTAAAATATTCGAAATGGAGGGAATTTTCTAAAAATTCAATGCATACGGTGGGAGGATGATGACCAACACTACGCATCTAGCAATAAGCCGATCCATAGCGCAGAAAAATCACATTTTAGAGAAAAAGCATAAACTAATTCCAGGAGAATGTAGAACATCCCTACCACTTACAGTAAGGAAACAGAAAATTTGTCTCTCAAGTGTAAATAAGCAGGTTTTCCGTACTTACCCGCAGTTGAAACGACGACAGGTGTACCGTCCAAGCGAGCTCTGGCTATCCGAACAAAAGCCGTTGTTTCTTGACTGGAGCATTCGAAGACGGCCAGGGCGGTGGAACTCAGCGCCAAAATGAGCGCTGATGCTCTCAGCATGTCTGAAAAAAAAAAGAACTGGGTCAAAAACAGTTTGTTTCTACATATGGTGGGTCTTAGGTGGAATTCGAGGTTCCAAATGTGAAAATGAGAGTAAAGATTGAAAGACTGATAATAAAAACGAGGAAACTCATTCATAACTTGCGATTTGCTTTCACAATCAGTAAAACCAGCGATAAAGACAGATCACACTAACTGCTATGGATACTACGGTAAATAAGACCCCGGTGCGCAGATGTATCACCGCGGCGGCCCCGCGCTCGGCCAAGACGGGGGGCGGATAACGCCCGCCCGAGCGTTTTTTTCCGGAGCGCCTTCGTAAGAACCTTGACCTCGTTACCTCAAAATGCAAGTCCCCCGTCCACCCGCACAGACCTACACGCGCGCAACTGCGTTCTCTTTTACTAGTGTGTCGAGAATTTGACCCCCCCCCCCCCTGTCGCTAAACGATGATTGTGTGTTGATTACGAAGCGAAACGACAACGCACACAAAACAAATTACCTACGATTACTGATCGTTGAATTCACTCTTGCGCAAGATTTGGGAATGGGTGAACTACTTTCGAATGAATGTTAAACAAACTTTTACTTATTTGGCGTTTATGGACAACAAACTACAGGAAGAGAAGAGTGCGAAAACATGCTTGTTGTTTAATTCAAACTTATTTATGCTATAACAGTAAACTATCAGTCTAGAATTCACAGCGAAGGTGGTGGTTTGTTAAAATATAAATAGGGCACACAATACTGCTCTTAGAATGTGCGAGATTTCTGGGAAAATCGTCAAATTTAGCGGGAATTCCGTCCGCTAAGTTCGGAAATCCCTGGAACGGTTTCGAATGCTGTAACACCAAAATGTATGCGTTTCGTAACCTGAGCAATATGCTCAGATCGCCAAGGCGAAGTTCAATTTCTTGCCTTATCGTAATCTGCCGAGCTACGGTAGGTATACGGTAGAAAGTCGCTTCGATGAACTAGGGTAAAGCTGTACATGGGAACTCTCGTAAATAAAATAGCTAGCAGCTCAAAAATAATTACATTGATTGAAAAGAGTAGGTTGTAAATCCAAAAAGATTAGAGATGAAGGAAAAGGAAATGATAAAACAATAAATATGAAGTTTATGTAAATACCGTGGAAATGTAGTCCATAAAGCTAATCGCTCAATTTTGCCATTAAGCGATATTGGTGCGATCTCTCTAGAAAATTCCGAGAATAATTGAAATATTTCAGCTGGCTCAAATACATTGAATTCAAACACTGGGAGAGAAGGCAAATCTATTTACGCCCGCTCATTTCTGTAAAAATTACAACAGACCCATAAGAAGGCAAAAAGTCAGTTAATTTTTCGAGACGATTTTTTCAGATGGTTAGAGTTTGGTAGTTTTTGGATTTTGGAAATTTTGGTATTTCGCAATTATCGACCTTGCTCAAACTTCAAGAGTTCTAAACAAGCGTCTCAAAATTCCATGCGACAAAAATATTAGGTTAAAAACAGATGGTTGGGAGCCTGCTGTCTATCAGCGTGCGAAAAGAGCATAGAGTGAGGAAACAATCATCAAAACACTTGAATAGAGTGACTTCGCGAAAATCCGCCACCGGCCCAGCCTTCATTTCTCAGTTCCGCTTGCGGATTCTGTGATTCCCGTAATGCAACGGATGTTCCGCGCATGTGGAAATGAAACCAATAACGAAGTGCTTGACCGCATAACACGCTACATCTTCCATCTGCCGACGACTTGTCAAAGGGATTATTAGAGCAAAATGTGCGCAAGTGGGCCAACAACGACTTGGCTGAACAGCGGAATCCGTGAGAGAAACGTTTGAGGAGGTGACCGAGTGGAGGTGAACGGTGAAAGTGTATACATCAATCTGACTTTGTTAACTGGTTCGAGTTCCCTCGAAGGGGAACCGTTCAACCTTGAAGGGAGGAATTTAACAGTGGGGAAGGAGAGGGTAAGGGCCAGCAAGTGTTTCGTTTATTTATGAAAGTGATAGTAGGATAAGAGTAGTTATGGGCGAACTCCGCAAAACTCCTTGCCCTTGAATGAATTGCTTATCTTAGCGGACAAAAGATATCTCGATGAGCAGATAGGAGAAGGTAGACGGAAGGGTACCATTTATCTTGAGTTTTTTTTTCTCGAAGTAAACAGAAAATACAACGTAGACTGAGTTTTAGTAGCATTTTCGTGTCAGGTACGGTAGGAATACGTTAGAGAATCAAAGCATTGGTACAGCGATATTTTGAAATGCATTTTTAAGGTCATATGATCTATTAGGTTGTTAAAAAAGTCTTGTTACACTTTAACTTCTTACGGCGATAAGTCATGCTCCTCATATTCTTTACAGGGCTTCAGGGAACCCTTCGATAGAGCAAAGCAAGCTCTACAAGACAGTGTGCAAAACTTTGCGCCAACTTCGATCCACTGTAAGTTTGCACCCAAAGTTTGAGTCGTACCGAGGGCTCAAAAAATCGCGAAAAATTCGTATCTTTGTTTGAAAAATTCCCACGGATTTCCAACTTGCTTATAAAAATTGCACATTGTATCAGACACTCATATGTACCATTTCTGGATTTTTTCCTCGTCTAGAAATTGAGAAAACGAAAATTTTTTTGTTTTTACAAAAATGGAGCTATGCTGTTTCTGTTCATGTAGCTGTATATTACAAGCCCTTAGAAGTGTAGCCGTAAAATTTCAACTTTCCAGAAGCCCTATTTTTCGAAAAATACCTGATTTAGCATTGAACAGCCGAGCGAAAAAAGCTAAGTTCGGTTTTTTCGAAAACTAGGGCTTCTGGAAAGCTGAAAATTTACGGTTATACTTCTAAGGGCTTGCAGTATACAGCTACATGAACAGAAACAGCATAACTCCATTTTTGTAAAGACAAAAAATTTTCGTTCTCAATTTCTAGACGAGGAAAAAATTCAGGAACGGTACATATGAGTGTCTTATACAATGTGCAATTTTTACGAGCAAGTTGGAAATCCGTGGGATTTTTTCAAACAAAGATACGAATTTTTCGCGATTTTTTGAGCCCTCGGTACGACTCAAATTTTGGATGCAAACTTATAGTGGATCGAAGTTGGCGCAAAGTTTTGCAAACTATCTTGTAGAGCTTGCTTTGCTCTGTCGAATGGTACCCTGGAGAGAGTATAAGGTGCATGAATTATTGCCGTAAGAAGTTAAGGTGTAACAAGACTTATGTAACAACCTAATACAATGTCGGCAACGTTTTTTTCCCTGAAAAAGTAACAGTCGAGAATGATATTTTTACATTATATAGACAGATCACCTTTATGATGAACATTTGCCAGAAATCTTTGAAAATCTTAAAAATTGCAGCAAAATGGAGTGAGTGTCCGTACCTGTATCAATCCCTAGGATTTCAAAAAAAAAACTTGATTATAATAAAAGAGCGCTGCCTTGCTCTGTAAAAAAGTAAGCCAAAAGACTCAAAAGATTATGAGCTACCAAAGACATGTGGAGTTTTCCAGAATTTTTTTCGTGCAAAATATAATAGTAATTTTACACGAGCCTAGAATACATGTGGGACATGTGTTGGATTGCTTGAATTAGACCAAAAACTTGATATACAGCTGTTAACTAATAGTTACAAAAAATTGTTCAGAAGAGATAAAATGAGCGATTAAATGTCTGCCGCCAGATGTTTGTACATACATATAACCACCTGCTGAGCATTAAAGAAAGTTTTGCTCAATTTTTGTCTAGTGCATTTCAGCTTTTCTAAACATTTTCTCCTCCTCAACTTACCTAGTCAGTCATGGCATAAATTGTTTTTGGAAGAAGTATGTATTATATGTGAGGAAGAGTATCTAACCCTATAGAGATAAATGCTATGTTTTTTTACCACGCGTGTTTTATGGACTGGTGTTTACGCTTGATAATGATGTTCAGACTTGATAAATGTCTGACTAAAAGATGCGAATCCCAGCTCAATTGTGTATTTGCTCGAGTATACGAAAGCGAGTAGCTCGCATCATCACATCCGCCAAATCAAGTTTTTGCATCAATGCAATTTTTTTAGTCTGCTAGTGACTCACAGCTGATTCCAAAAACTTTTACAGAGCTATTGTCATTGTGTGTAGGAAAAGTGTGTTCAGTAATGTCTTAGAATTGACGTATATGAAGAAGAGACTTGATGATTATTTTCACCTTTATGACAGGATCTACAAGTACTTTAAGGAAAATTCTGTAGCGGCCTTTGAACTCCATTTTTTCCTTTATCCTCCAAAAATTTTCTCATTCTTTTCCTTTATCTACCGATTTTCGTGAACATCTACGCTGATAGGAAAATTCTTCATTCATAAGCTCTTCGTAACGCAAGCTGGTTAAAAAAGAACAAAAAACAGATTTTATGCCGTTGAATTTTGTAGGTCATAAGCTCGTAGCTTAGATCTCATCTTTGATTTGAATTTTGCTTTTTTTTGAAACTTTTTTGGGATCTACTGACAAGGGCACCAAGGAGGTTGCACTACCGGTATAGTTCTTAGCCCCCAAACCGGATAGTGTAGAAAAACAGGCAAAAAACAGTGAATTTATGAAATTATCGTGTTCCTATTTATTTTTAACATTTTTTTCAAATGTCTCTTTTCACAAAAACACAAAATCTGTCTTATAAAGCTATAAGACATAAGCTTAAATTATCAACAAATTTTCCACGTTGTAAATTGCGATGAAAGCATGTTTTGACCTATTAAAAGTTCAGAAAGGATAACGGAAGCCGATTTGAATGAGCATTCATGATTTTGAGCTATAGCTATTTAGCTTTTTGAGTTATTGCGGAATTATGTCACAACGTGTGGTTGGTTACGAAATTGGGCAAAGTTCCTTCTTCCCTATCATTTTCTACTTGTTTCTTATCTTTTTTCATGGGCGAGAGAAGAATGAGGGATGTTGAGAGATGTAATTACTCAAAAATAGCATTATGCTGCGACGTCTAATTTTCTACCGACTTATCCGCCTGAATTTTTTAGATCAAT